TCCCTCTCTCCCTCCCTCCCTCCCTCCACCCACCCATCCATTTATCGATCTATTCATCCAATCCATCCATTCCATTCTGTTTCTACGTCTCACCTTTAGCGACATGAAGCGATACATCAGTCCTAGCCACACCATAAGAGTTGTTTAACACACACGTGTACACCCCATTATCCTTAATCTCTGCGCGTGACACATGCCACGTGCCATTGGCAAACTGCCGCCCGACTTTATTGACATCTGAATTAAGGACTTCTTCCTCTTTGGGGTAAAGCCGCTGTCTACCATGTAGCCAGTACATTGCGGGCTCAGGTCGTCCTTGGTACTCACAGGGGAGGTTAACTGGATCTCCTTCTTCGGATAMGATGGTTAGACTTGAATACAGTGGTTCTGGAATACCTTGAACAACAAGTTGCACATATAGTTATGAATTACAATCAAGTGTTTGATAAAAAAGGTACATGTTAAAGTCTTCCAACAAGTTACCTCAACATTTTAGTCTTACTAAGAAAAGTCTCGACTTCAGAGCTGTAATTCATACTGCGCATGCTCGACAAAGTGACGAATCATAACGCGAAATGCTCTATCCAATTACAATGCTTGAATTTTTTAGGGTTTTCTAGAATCACTGGCATTTCGTGGAGCACGTACAGCAAGAATGATCGATAGGGCTCTAAATTCGAGAGAGAGAGAGCGATGTGGATGACCCAAACACATACCACAAGGACAGGAACTCAAAACCGGCGTTGTTTCAGAAAAAATTCCAGTTCCAGGCGTCGTAAATGCAGCAACTTTAACGGAGTAATTTTTACACTCGTCGACCGAAAGATCTAGCTTCTCGTTGCTTGCTGTGGTGTTGTGATATTCTTGTTTTTCTTGTTTGATCATGACTTTGTATCCTAACAGCCTGCCATTGATGAAGTCTGATGGAAGCGAATCCCATGACATTTGTAACTTATAACTGTAGCAATCTAATGATGCTCTCAGGTTTGATGGTGCTTGACTTGGGACTTAAAAAGGAGAAAAGAGAAAGACTGATATAGTTTGTTGTGGATCAATGGTGGTTCACTGGGTACACTCGAGTTTCTCTTGTTTGATTCCTGGACTCGGTTTGTTAGGTCTCTCCTTTGATTCGAGTGCTTTTCGGAAAATCTCCGGTTTTCCTTCTCCTGCAAAACTTCCCCAGTCTGTGAGTTAGCCGTGCCCTGACTTAGATCAGCCCAGAGGTTGTTTCAGGGTTCAATCTGTGAGTTAGCCATGCCCTGACTTAGATCAACCCAGAGGTTGTTTCAGGGTATTGATAAATCTAACATGATGAATAAAAGACAAGCTATTTCATACCATYTTCCTTTGTTCTTAACTGACTTGCCTTCGCCAAAAATTTCCGATTAATCTGAAACCCATGCTTTTCAGTATCCGCTACCACGCCCAAATAATACAGCCTGTACGGCAAGAGTCCGGTTATGGTATAATGTCTAAWAGACAAATTTTTCAAAACTATAAATTTATAATCAGAAAACATATTTTCCAGCAACCACCCAACGCGATACTGTATAAGGACCCCATTGTGGTGTTCAGGGTCTAGTGGGTCCCACTCGAGGTAGATACTGTTTGGGGTTGGTGAGTTGATGTGGGTAACGTGGCAGACATCGCTGGGTGCTGAAACGTAAAGAAAGTAACGATGTTGTGAGAATAAGTTATTAGTGTAGGGCAACGTAGAGTCGTAAACTGCCAGCTGATCTTACTAATGTGCAAGCTTGTAGGACAGACAAGAAAAAGTCAAATCAAAAGAGATGATACTAAACATGTTGCATGGGTGAAGATGAAAGTTTGTAATATAAAACCCATGGGTGGCGTAGTGGTTTACCGCTCGCCTCTCACCACTGTGGTCCGGGTTCGAGCCCTGGCTCAGACTGGATCATATGTGAGTTGAGTTTRTTTAATGTGTTGTTCTTTCCCTTGCCACGAGGGTTTTCTCCGGGATCTCCGGTTTCCTCCTCCTTAAAAAGCAACATGTGAGTTGAGTGTTGCATGTTGTAAATATAGAATGTAGTGGTAGTGCGTGTGGAGGGAACCTCACGGAAGAGCCCCGCATGAGGAGTGGTGGGAGAAACAAATCTTTTACTTTATTTATGTTATTGATGTAGGACCATACTTCCAGAAATCGARTGCTGAACCGTCGTATGGCAGCGCAAAGCATTAACGGCTACGCCGGAGATTTCGGCCCCGACACCGCTATCCGAGGACTTACAGACTGATCAGAAAGCTCAGCCGAAGCCTAAGGGAGAGGTTAGTCGGCCCCTGGACCGTAGATGATTAACCCCTTGCTATGACCAGTAGGCCCGGTAAGTTGCTTGTATTACTATTGGGGTAGCATCCAAAGTCAATCTTTTCCATGAGGGATGCTATTCGGTAAGGAATGTGACGTGAATTTACTCACAAAATCGGGTAAAAATCTAAATTTACATCTCGCAATTTTACAAAAGGTAAATCTTTCCCTCCAACGAAAGAATAGGTAACAAACAGCTCTAAGTGATTCACCTCCTTGGGGAGTTACGATAACGACACGAGAACTCCAATCGCCATCCCCATGATCTGTGTTCGCTCGTATGAAGATTGCGTAGCTTCTATACGGTAGCAAATTTTCAATCCTAAAAGTAGTCACACTTGGTTCAACTGAGATGGTCTCATTGGTTTGTCTGTCTGTCCTGCCATACAAAATCGTGTATCCGGTAAGGGAGCCATTGATTCTTGTTGGTCTTGACCAAGACAGTGTTATTTCAGATTTATAGTAACCCCCAGTGGCTGTTCCTTTGACGTTTAGAGGGGGAGAAGCAAAACCTGGAAGGAAATAAAGCCTAAGTTATCATTTTTAAAAATCTAATTAGTATTTCTTTCTCTATTGGTTTATTGTAACGACACTTCAAAAGGATGTGGGGTTTAGCTTTAGTTTACCAGTGGATAAGTCGATGCTGTTATCCAATAAATTTATTCACTGGAAAAGATTTATCCGTCGGATAGCACACTATCCACCCTTCGTACAACTGGGCCCAGGTCAGTTTTCTTCAAATTATTTATTTCATCTTCGAAAAATTGCAATTGTTTTTTTTTTTTCGATATATATATTTCCTTGGCAAGATATTGAAGAAATGAAAAACGCGCGCGCGTGCTGTGTGCAGTTATAAAGCACGCGGGGGTTGGCAGAACACGAGAGAAGTGTTAGGAGAAGCACGACGCGTAGCGGATGGCTTCTCGACACTTCTCGAGTGTTCTGCCAATCCCCAAGTGCTTTACAACTCTACACAGCACAGCAAGCAAGTTTTTTTATCTCTTTTATAAAATGCAAAGTGCGCGTGCGTGCTGTGTGCTCTCATAAAGCACTCGCTCCCAACCAATCAGAATGCGAGGTTTATAACAGTTATTTCATAAAAGCTTGTATCGTATTGCATTGCTTTCAAGCCTAGTTGTTTTTCGTTAACATACCATTTTCGTTGCTTCTTTGGACTAGAAATGACAAAGCGAAAAACAGAACTCCTCCAAGGAAGCTCAGTGTTCTGTTCATATCTGGAGTAAATAACATGGAATCAGTAACTAAGTAGAATAGTTTGAAAGGATCTTCAGCTGTGCATGCTTCAAAAAATGAAATAACAAAGAAGTAATAACACAAACAGATGATGAGCAAACCAGAAAAAAAAAAAAAAAAAAAAAAAAAAAAAANAAAAAAAAAAAAAAAAAAAAAGGACAAACAAACCGCGTCATACTCAACTAGAACGAAGATCCAAGGTCTCTACGGGCTAATGATTTGAAGGAATTATTTACTGACATCGATAAGAGGTGTTTGTCCAACGAGTATTTAAAAATTCAGTTCATCTTTCGTTTTAAAACGCGTATAAAATATTCGACCTACAATAATTAACTTTAATCAAGATTTTAAGCTGATTTTTGATGAAGTTTAAGTTTGCTTAACGACTTTTTACTTTTATTTTTACTGGAAATTTTATTGATTCTATTGAAGAACGATATTTTTTTAATAAGTTGTTTTAGTTGTTGTACTGAAAGTCCAAATTCTTGATTCATCTATTTCTATTGCCATCAAACTTTAAATGAAAATAATTTAGTACCTTTTTGAAGGGAATGTTTTTAATGTCGGATGAATCTTAAAACTTATCTAGTTTAGGCAATGTTAGCCATAGGAATTCTTATAAGCATTATCAGTTAACTACCAAAATTGGTCTAGACAACGTCAACTGATATACCGATAATAGTTGAATTTAGTGAAATTTCCGGCAACTATGAGCGCAAAAGAACGTCATGAAAATATTATATTGCTCAAGAAAATGAGAAGAATAAGTCATAAAATAAATATTTCAGAAATTTTTGTAGTTCTGAAGTATCTTGGTTCGGAAAGAGCCATTTTTTTAGTTTTTGCGCACATTAAGTTTTGGTAAACTGAGAAAACTTCTTTGAAATGCCTGTCAACGAACATTTAGTGACGACACTAAGAACGGCTGCCGCGAGGGATGACTAAAAAACATTAAGCTATCAAGAAAAAGCTCTTGAGAATCGTTCTATATTCATCTAACCCAACAAGCAGATGGATTTACTAGCATTATGACTTAGAGCGTCKCACTCAAAAATTTGGGTTTAAGAAATATCGACTTTTTGATAAAAATTACAAAAATTTACTAAATTGATTTTTTTAAACATTCTTAGCGTAGAAAGGTTTTACTTACCGAGCTAGACACAAATGAATTGAATTCACTAATTATCTATCCTTCAATACTTTTTTTATGAGTCCCTTCAGTAGTGACTATAACTTCTTCAACGAATAGCTCAATCTATTTTCCGACTTTAATGAAATTATCTGTTAGCTAATTCAGTCAGCGATATTTATTATTTTGATATGGCTCAATAAGGTTGAAGGACTTTATAATGAAGTCTGTTACACACGATACATCCATGCACGAATCAGCTTATTTTGTCTTGCCATATTCATTACAAAAACCTTTATTTTCAAAATAGATCGTTTTAGATTCTCCTGGTCCCAAATACCTGCGTTTCAGAAATTCCTTTGGTGAGAGACTGAAAGATGACGTTTTGGGGCTATATTTATGTTCAATACATTTGACCCCCCTCTTAGGAAATGCCTGACTCCAAGCATGTTCATTTACTCATAGTTATTAACTATGATTCACTACATACCATCTTGATTATTATTTTATTGGTTTTGAAATTATAAAGAGGCTTAATTGGAACAAGTTTTTCAAGTGCCTATCACACTACTGACAATATTCTCACTATTGATTCTACGTGGGGTAAGCTTTTGAATGACCCCCAAAAAATCATAGTTTGAGTGCGGCTTCTTCGGTTCAATCAAAGGCTTTCCAAGTCATATGCTAATGACTGTGACGTATGAGGAGTCATTAGAGTTTTCTATTTAAAAAAAACCTATTTATTTTGCTTTAAATAGTACAGGATAGCGCAATGACTAGTTTCATCAGTTCTATTTAGTACAAACTATATAGTTGCTTTGTTTCACAGATATCGCGTTTGCACTCTAAGAAAAAAATCTATTGCATATTAACGTTTGAGACCCAAGAGTCGCACAAATAGGCCATTTTCCACTTGGGACCCATTGAAAAGATTTGAATTCGGTCATTTCTCCAATCAGTTACTACTATTTCTTCCTTATTGATGACTGCAACAGCCAGAGGATTATTAAACTGCCCAACATTTGTACCCTTGGAGCCGAACGCATTCAGAGCTCTGCCATTTTGGAGGTTAAAGAACTGCAGTCGGTGATTGTCAAAGTCACATACGATAAGACGGTTTTCATTGTCAACAACCAAACCTCGAGGGCTATACAGCTCGCCTTTCTTGTTTCCTGGCTTTCCAATTATACGAAGGAAATTGCCTTTGTCATCGAAAACTTTCAAGACATTATTTCCTGTATCGGCGACGACAAAGATGTTTTGTGATGGCACGAAAATAGCTTCTCTTGGGTGCTTTAGTTTGTCTGTTATTCCTGTACCAAAGTTGAAGAGAAATTTCCCCTCGGCTGAAAAGACTTGCACTCGATGATTCTGCCAATCTGTCACTATTATCCTGCCATCCTTGTCGACATTCACACCAGTCGGCTTATTAAACTGACCATCTCCTGTCCCCGGTATTCCAAACTTCTTGACGAGTTTCCCAGTTTTGCGATTAAAAATCTGGATTCTGTGATTATCCCTGTCTGCCACAATGATACATTTATTTGCCTTGTCAAAAGCAATCCCAGCTGGGTAGTTTAGCTCTCCTTCATCAATCCCATATTTTCCGATATCCAAGAGCTTTTTTCCATCAGAGTCGAAAATGTGAATGCAATTTTTCTGTGTATCTGTTACCGCGATTTCACCCACTTCGCTCACTGCGATCCCGTGCGGTTGGCTGAAGTGTCCCGTGGCTCCCGCATGTGACCCGAACGCCTTCAGCGGCACCAGAACTGGAGGACGAATGTTCACTTCAAAAGGACTTCCTTTAATATCTTTCTCGCCTACTTGCACCTCGACTTTGTATTTGCCAGGCGTGTATGGCAAGTAGCTTATTTCATACATTCCATTTTCGTTATTACTCATTTTTGGTAAAACCTTTGTCCCGTCCGATGCTGTGATTCTGACACCCAGACTGTCAATACTACTATAACATGTTTCGCCTTTCAAATCACATGTAGTGACAATAAACACCGCTTCTTCTCCTACCGCCCCATCTCTCAACCCTTCACCATCTGCCTTAGAGGAAATGACGTCGGTATTACTCGAGGCGATGTGTCCAAGAACACTTGTCTGGATGTGACGTAACACATCATGATTTGGAACGTAGCCAACACAGGCGCTCTCGATGGGTCGCGAGTCAACGGACATTTGAGCCAGTTGCTGCAGCCTATTGTGGACATGCTCTTTTAGTGTCACGACTTCAGCCGTGACATTTCTTTGCAGCATGACTTGGGTAAAATCAATGGAGCTTTTGACTTGAAGCAAACACATATCGAACGTTTTCAATTGTGATTCAAGATTCTCTTTCTTAACGTCCCTGACGCCATCGATATGCGAAAACATTTCTTTTTCATGTTGCCTAAGTAGGTTTACTATCTTTTCCATGCCAAAATGAACTTGTCGTTTTACTTTTTCTATTTCTTTATCGAGGTCGATAAGACGTTGTTCAATGAGCTTTTTGCCCTCCGTGATCTCCTCGCCACGTTTCGTGACACTTTTGATTTCAGCTTCCAGTATCTTGGAAGCTTCCTCAAACTCGTCGTTCAGAAGAGAAATGTTAGTGTGTTTTTCCTTCGCTGTTGAACTACACACCTGACATATACACTTACTGCAATGTCTGCAATAAAACTGTACGGGACAAGCTCCTCGGTTTTTCTGGTGACCACACGTTAACATTTKCCGAAATATTATGGCCTGTACATCTTTCTCGGTCATGTCGTTGGTCTTGATAATAAGGTGTTTTCCGCCAGTTGATATTGTGTGGTCGTTCGTACATTTGGAACAGAAAAAATCGCCACATTCGAAGCAGAACGCGAACGCCTCACAATTCTGTTCACATCTGCTACAATTTTCTTGGCTGTGTTTATAATTTCTCGAATAAAGATCAAGTAATCGTACTATGTAAACATCAGAGGTAAATGTAGAGAAGCCATTGACTCCAATCAGCAGCGGCTTTTCAATCTCTGCTTGACAAACAGGGCAGTCGATGTGAGAAGAATAAGGATTTTTCTTTCCGATTTCGTTCAGGCATCCAAGACAAATATTATGTAAACACGGAGTCAGTTTTGGATCAATGAAGATGTTCTTACATACAGGGCAAGTCAGCTTCGATTCTATCTTCTTCAGTTCTTCGGCAATGCCCATTTTATCTGCCGACCAAACTGAGTCAGTGCTCGTCAGTTCCTGTAACTCCCAATCTGTTGTGAGACTGGAATCATGGGAAGAGGCTTATACGAAAACATATCTTGAAAAATTATAATATGGTCGATCACGCGGAAATAGCTGAACTTTCATTATATATTAATCATGACCTCGAAATATTCAAATACCCCGACACTAACCATTGGTCTAAAAATATACAGACAATCCTACATCCGCATGATTTTCCTTTTAAAAACCAGAAATTTAATATTTTCAATTCATTTTTTTTACGGAAGCAAAGTCCAAGTTGAGAGCGAAACCTATCACTTTCGTGACAACACGAGGACAAAAATGATCAATCAGGCTCCAATATTTATGCATTTTTTGCTATAATTAAGCCCATATTAGCTGGCTAAAGTTCGTTTTATTTATTTTTTATTTTTTGGAGAGGAGAGGCGGCAGGGGCGGGGGTAGAGAGAATCAATGAAACCAATTTTTACTTAATTTTTTAATATTTTGGTCCGAATTGTTATGTCTACGCAGCAGTATGGAAATCTTTTAATCCCTGATGGACAGGGCGGAAAAGCAACAAGCCCGCTGCTTTCACGATTTTTTTATTTAACTGAGTTTAATACTCCAAATTTTTGTCACTGCTGCTMGAAACTTGTGACGAAATTTYGTCGAATYAGAGTAAAGGCTACTTATTAGTATTCACGAAAATGTCAGTTTTTCTGTTGATYAAAATATCACCTCTCCCAAAGTACRCGGCTTTATATCTCAAATRCGCATTCAATAAATTTTGGTYGCATTTGATATTCTGCTATTTGGCTCCAAAAGAACYTGTTTACAAAATATTGAGYTTAAATACGTAAAGCTGTCCTTATGGCRAAAGGCCAAAAACCGTTTTTCTGCCCTGTCTCCCTCATGCGGCACAACAGACAAACGATTTCTGACTTCTGTAGCTTCGAACTAGTTTATTGCTATTCTTTTCTCTTTCTTCCTTTTTCTTTCGAAAAAGACATCCGTTACGAGAAAATTCCTGTCGAAAACCGCAAAGTTTTCGGTACCACTGTAGTACGTACTGTAGTGGAGGTAGTTGTTATCATGGGAGGATTAGGGGGGGGGGGAGACACTGTTCATTTGCACTTTCCACAGTATCTTGTCGTAATTGTTCCTAATGCTTCTAGTTTATTGCAATTCAAACGATGCTGCTCTCAACCTGTGGTAACAAGGTTTTTTTTTTCTTGAGAAAAAATAAATAATTGATGATCAATTTGTTCATACACGCAAAAGCTTGTACCATTTATATAAAAAGGTGCTAAGTGAGCATGTAATTGATGCCCTGAACTTGGGTTCTCATACACTAGAATGATCTCGCAATGCCACAAGATATGGCACCAAAATGGTTCATATTTGCAACTCAGTACTTGACACAGAACAGTGCAAATTACAAATTTAGTAGCCAACGTAAAAAATTCATCATTTAATATCGTTTTTATCTTTTTTAATTTATGCTTTATGACATTATARCGTCTCAGTGTAGTAGCATGGATTAGGTGGGTGGACAATGTTTGCAACTTGAGTCAATAGTATGTTGTCATATTTGTTTTCCTAAATCTTCTAWTGCATTGCAATTCAGAGAATGCTCYTTCCAACTCTGGGTAACAAAGCTCTTATTTTTTTCGAGTAAAATAAATAATTAATGACCACTTTSTTCATAAACACAAAACCTTGTTCCATTAAACATAGTGTCTCGACTTTCATAGCAAAAGGTGCCAAGAAACATGTACTTTCACACACTAGAATATCAGCTCACAAGTTCACAAGATATGGCACCAAGGATAGTTTATATGCTTCTCAATACTTGACGAAAGACAGTRCAGAATACAATGCTTTTAACTAGCCTTTAAAACAGTGTGTCAAACCAATTAATTATAAATTTATCAGTCCGCGTGTGTTAGTATAGGACGTTTGACCTCGTCTTCAGCTCCCGACACGCGAGACGAATATGTAGTCCCTCTTGTCTGKATCAAACCGCTTTCCTATGCATCGCTTGTGTGAACGACACGCTGGAACAGATATTCAGATTAGGTGGATAGGTTAAAAAAACAGTCCTCAAGAAACAATAGCAAAAAGCCTAACTCTTTTCCATGCGTGACCATAAGTTTCAACCAACTGAACGTGACACTTAATAGTACTTAGCAAAGACAACATGAAAGTACTTATTTATGAACATTATTACTCGACAAACGATGATTGACACGAGAGAAAAGCAACTCCCCTGTTTTATTGAGTTGCAGAATTTTGAATTTGACTGGTCGTTGTTTGTCAGACGAGAGGTAAAGAAATATCACTTTTGACCCAAAACAAGCCACGTGTAGACATCTGTAACAAAAAACCCCTTCAAACCCACCGTATGCAAATACATATTTTGCTTGAATCAAGCTCTCCTCGCCTCGGTGGATAGGAAGTAATATCCCACGGTTCTCAAGCGTTCTTTTGTAGGCATGGACATCCAGAGCATTTTGGACAACTTGGAGGAACTTCTTACTTGTCGTTTGTGTTCAAACATCTACAAACACCCGAGAATTACACCATGTTTACATTCGTTTTGCTGTGAGTGCTTGAATCARCTCTCCTTCAGCAGGCCTTACCAAGAATCAATCGACTGCCCGATTTGCAAGTTTGAAATTCGTAAACCTGAAGGAGGTCGCTTTGATTCACTACCACCCAGTTTTTTCTTGAATCGTCTACTAGATGTATATGTTGCCAAGAGAAGAAGYTACTCTGAGGCCAGCTGTGGTAATTGTCATAGAAATCTATTGCTCAATTCCTTTTGTTTTTCGTGCGGTAGTTTTATGTGTGAAGAGTGTCTGAATGCTCATCACATTATCACTCGAAACAGTGGCCACAGGACGGTCACTTTAGGCAAATTGAAGATCAAAGATTACGAGGATCTCCTACGAAGGTCTACGTTCTGTGCCCACAAATTCAACGAGAGAGGAATTGTCGAGTACTTCTGCTACGATTGTGATGCTTGTGTGTGCCATGTCTGCAATGTCGCTATTCAGCATAAACATCGCATTGTCGATATTGATGAAGCGGCCAACGAACAGAAAATAAAACTCCGGGAGGCAAACGCTAAATTGAARACTAAACTCAAATCTCTGGAGCTCGGAATTAACAACATAGAATTCCGGAGTATTGAGGTGCAAGAACAGATTGATTATACAAAGAAGGACATACGAACGAAAATTGGCAACTTGATTGATATTTTAAAGAAACACGAGGAAGACATGATCCAAGAGGTGGAACGCATTYGTAAAGATAAGCAAGAAAACCTGACATTCCAGCTCAAGATGTACGAAACAATGCACAAACAAACAAAAGGATCAATCGACTTTACTGAAGAGCTCTTGGAACGTGATTTGAGTGAGGAGATATTGACAATCAAAAATCACGTGTATGGAAGGGCGGATTTGATGGATTCCGTCGTGGTAGGGACCAATCCGGCTGAGAATGAACGTGTGGGATACGTAGCTAACACCGAGGCTTTTGAGTCCATTCAGAAGGAGTCTCTGGGCCACATCAGCACCAGCCTTACAGAGCCACTTGCCTCCACAGCTGAAGGGAATGGCTTATCAGATGTGTCTGCTGGTGAAGAAGTGTACTTCACAATCATAACCCGAAACGCACAAGGTGAAATCTATTACAGTGAAATTGACCATGTAGTAGTGGAAGTGAAATCTGACATGTGGGGACTGTTGGACACTTCAATCAAGAACTACCGGGATGGGACATATGAGGTCAGTTACATTCCCCGCGTTCCTGGAGTCCACAGAGTCCAGATAGAAGTAAGTGGTCAGCATATCGAAGGAAGTCCTTTTAGGGTTTTTGTTAAGCAACCAGTCCTGACACCCGTCAAGTCATTTGGGTCACATGCACAAGAACAGACAAGTGGAATGCTGTTACAGCCTCATGGTGTTGCTGGTAATATGTTAGGCCAGATAGYTATGTCCGACAGCTTGAAGCACCACATTCAGGTTTATACCTCTGATGGCACCCAAATGCTTGAGTTTGGTCAAGAAGGAAGTAATGATGGCCAATTCATGCACCCAATGTCWATTGCATTTGACAAGGCTGAGAGAAACATCTTTGCTACTGACAGYGATAACAACAGAATACAAGTGTTTGATATCAAGACAGGAAGGTGTGTCACTGTATTTTGTATTAAAAGATTTGTTCCATTGTAACCTCTGCAGACCCCCCCCAACACATGAAAACCTTGAGATTAAAATCTCTTGAGTTTACAATCTCCCTACTTCTAAAGGAAGTAAAAGTTTTTCCTTTAACTACACAGCATACCATCCTCACCTTAATCCTTTGGTCTTTACATGGAACTGTAAGACAAGATTCAATTACATTTCCAATCTAGATTTTATCAATGTCATATAGTTTTTGGAAATTAAGTCCAATGCAGGTGATGCTATTTCCTCTTTCCATTGATTTAGATCAAGTTCTAATGGTCCAAAATGTATGACAGTGTTGTTCTTAATTGACTTGTTTGGAGTCACCCTAATAAAATGCATTTGTCATTTTCTAGTATGCTGTAATTATAGGCATAACTGATGCTGTTGACATCTGTATGTACAGTTCTTGTCCTTGTCCTTGTCCTTGTCCTTGTCCTTGTCCTTGTCCTTGTCCTTGTCCTTGTCCTTGTCCTTGTCCTTGTCCTTGTCCTTGTCCTTGTCCTTGTCCTTGTCCTTGTCCTTGTCCTTGTCCTTGTCATTGTTTGTCACCAACATTTGACAGACAGAATCCCATTGTGGGATTCATTTTCCATAATAACGGGAAGTGGACAGTCTGAGAAAAAGGCTTTTGACCTTTCCTTCCAAAGATCTTATRAGAAACAGATGACTAAATGGGACATCCTTTTCTTTTCAGATTTTTGAAAAAATTTGGAACAGAAGGAAATGGACCAGGGCAATTCAATGGACCTTGTGGCATCACAATCGATGGCAATGACCGTGTCATAGTAACTGACTGGAACAACCATAGAATCCAAGTGTTCAACCATGATGGCAAATTTCTCTTCAAATTTGGCGACAGGGGAAGTGAAAGGCTTGTCCACCCAAGAGCTGCCATTTATCATGATTTTGAGAGCTGTTTCATTGTTTCAGACACTGGAAACAATGTCCTCAAAGTATTTGACCAGAATGGAAAGTTCTCTCATGTRATTGGTCAACCAGGTATAAGACGTGGTGAACTGTGTGGCCCTCGAGGGCTTGCAATTGACAAGAATAATAATGTAGTAGTGTGTGACTTTGAGAACCATAGGCTACAGTTCTTTAAAACTGATGGAACAGTCTTAAATTCTTTTGGAACAAGCGGTAAAGGTATTGGTCAGTTTGCCTTTCCCCTGAGYATATCAATTGTTGGAGGTTCAAAGGTCATTGTTAGTGACTGGGGCAACAACAGAGTTCAAATTTTCAAATGCCGAGATGAGACAGAATCTCCTTCCAACTACAGTGCATCAAATTTGAGTAGAAGGGAGAGCTATAAATAGATTTTTATCTTAGATGAATTATACTATATGCCTCAATTGAAAGGGCATATTGATTTCAGACCAGATATYRTTCTCTTGAAAATAAGATTCTTTGTTTGAGGTTCTGAGGTTCCATATTCATGAGTCTTCTCTGTGCAACCATTAAACAAAGAAATGTTACTCTAGGGAATGACACATAGTCTGAAATGGGAAAACATTTTGCC